TTTTAAGAGAGCCAGCATGAGAGCAGAGACAGAGGTGGGGAGAGAGAATCTTAAGCAGGCTCCATGCTCAGTGCAGAGCCAGATGCAGATGTGGAGCTTGATCCCACAACCCTAAGGTCATGACCTGAGCAGAAATCAAGAGTTGGATGCTCAACCAACTAAGCTACCCAGGCGCCCCTGTTCTCGTTATTTCTTATTAGCCAATTCTTCATTACTCCAATCCCCTATTATAGTTAATAAGTCTTTATACTAAACTTTCCCTGTTTAAATTACTGTGATTTTTCTTTCCTGATTGTCTCAGACTGATACATTATTAGGCAATGTATCCTTCAGGTCCTCCCTCAATTAATTCTTCAAATTCCTGTAGGACATCATCCAAGTCATCATAACCCTTTGGCAACCTGGCGACTTAGATGATGGATTTCACTTTTTTGTCAACAGTCAGGAAACCTTAAAAATTGTTCACGAATCTTTCAATAGGTATCACCAACATACTTGATTATCTTGGGCTTTATTGTTCTCATATTACAAAGGCATTAGGAACAACTGAGAGAACAGATTCTTAGCTCCCTTCTCATGGTTTCTTAAGCATATGGTCATTGAATGGAATGGTACCATATATTGTTATTTTTCTCTCTCTCTGCCAAGCACCATAGTTGAATGATCACAATTCTGGTCTATTAACTGTGTGACCTCATACAGTTAGTCATTTAATCTGAGTTAGTATACTCATTGGGTAAAACAAGAAAAAAGGATAATATGTACACTACAGAATTAATAATGTAGATAATTAAAATAAATAACTTAATTAAATAAATTACTTATTCTTAATAAGTGCTTAATTTACACTTAATAAGTCTGGCAGATAGCACACAAACAGTATCTGCTATAACAATAAAACTATGACCACATGAGTTTCATTTCTGAAGGTAACACAGTTTACTCTTGAATTAAAGTTGCTAAAGTAAGAAGGGACAAGATATTTTTGGCTGAAGTTGATCAAATACTTGAGAGACCATGTATTAAAGCCAGGTAGTTAGAAGAATCCTGTTTACAATATAGGTCAGTGGTTCCCAAACACCAGTCACAGGACTGGCTGCATTAGATTTCTTTACAGAGCTTTATCAAAATATAAATAAATGTCCAGATCCCCCCGGTAGAAGCACTAATTCAGGAGGTCTGGGGTAAGGTCATATCATCTGTATTTCAATCACTTATTAGGTAAATCTGATGAGTGACCATGTTTGAGGCTACTGTACATACTATAGTCATCTTGTACTTTGAGGCCCAGGGTATCACTAATTCTTCTTTTTAAAAAATTTTTTTAGTGTGTTTTACTTTTGAGAGAGAGAGCGAGCGAGCACGAGCAGGGGAGGGGCAAAGAGACACAGAATTCAAAGCAGGCTCCAGGCCCTGAGCCGTCAGCACAGAGCCCAACACGGAGCTTGAACTCATGAACTGTGAGATCATGATCTGAATCGAAGTTGGACTCTCAACTGACTGAGCCATCCAGGTGCCCCTCATTAATTCTTTAATATCTTGTTCTTGTCTCTCTAGGAAGTTGGATAAAGAACGTGGGCAGGAAACCTTAAGAACATCTTACATGGCAGGGTCTTTTGTAAACAACCCCCTTTTCAAGCATAAGTTCCCAATAGATATCCAGATTCTATTCAACTCTGTCAACAGAAGAAAACTTTGCAAGACAACATAAACTAAACTGTAACTCAAAGAATTCTCAAGTGCTTTATGTGATGACATAATGCTGAATATATCAAGAAAGATGGAGGTTTCTTTCAGGATTAAATACTAAGGAGACACCAAATACAGGGGAAAAACAACAGAAATAAAATTTTCTCTATGCTAATTATTGTACAACAGTCTCACTAGGAGAGTAAATAGTTACACTACTATTCATAATAGTAATGGAAGCTAGGTGATGTATAAACAATATTACATTACTTACTTTGCCATTGTTTCTGCAGACAGGTCTTCAGAATTCTTGACTTTTGTTTCACCTAAAAAGAAAATATTAAAAAAAATAAAATTCCCCAAAATACAAATTATGAAAGCAAGAGTATTCTCTTTTAAAAATCTCACTTTTGGGAATGAAATGCAGACTTTATGGTTGTGTATGATGGGCTTAGCAAGGATTTTCTATGTTAAAGATGCATCTTGATAATTGGGCACCCTAAGGAAGATGTAACTCCCGTAGCCTAGCAAAGATTTATTTACATTCCTTATACATCATCAGCATCAGAATTTGGTTACATTAAAGGACATTTTCATAGCTAAACAATAACATATATGTGTATTTATAAAATATCTTTTGTAAAAGCTGGAAACTAAGACTTCCCTCAAAGAGCCCAAATGGAATGGACCAGGTTATTCTGTGGCCATATTGAAACTTGTAATAGTTAACAGTATTCAAAGGGGTTGGCAAATTTATCAGAGTTAGTGACTAATTAAGTACATCACTCACCATGACCTCGCAGATCTAAAGCCACAATTCTACACTGAACCCTACTAATGATCGCCGCCTAGGAAGAAAAGAAAATCTGGTTTAGTAAACTTTCCCCATTACCAATGATAACTGTTCAACGAATACCTATCACAATTCAAGAATCTCAAGATAATCAAAGGAAGACTTGCCTTTTTTTTTCTCATTTGAGTATAGTTGGTGTATAATGTTACATTAGTTTTAGGTATATAACATAGTGATTTGACAAGTTTACACATTAACTTATGCTCACCAAATACAAACACTATTATAGTATCACTGACGGTATGCTTGCCTTTTATTTCTGTTACTTATTCATTCCATAGCTGGAAGCCTATATCTCCCCCTTCCCTATACCTATTTAGTCCATCCCTCGACCGCTTCCCCTCTCAAACCATCAGTTTGTTCTCTGTATTTATAGCTCTGACTCTGCTTTGTTTCTTCTTTTTCTTTTTAGATTCCACATACAAGTGAAATCATATGGTATTTGTCTTTCTCAGACTTATTTCACTTAGCATAATACTCTCTAGGTTTATCCATGTTGCTGTAAATGTCACAATCTCATTCTTTTTTATCGCTGTGTAATATTCCATTCTCTGTATATACATCTTCTTTAACCATTTGTCTAGCAACGGACACTGAGGTTGCTTCTATATGTTGGCTATTGTAAATAATGCTGCAATAAACACAAGGGTGCATATTATCTTTTCAAATTAGTGTTGGGTAGTCCACTACCCAGTAGTGGAATTATTGGATCATATGGTATTCTTTTTTTTTTTTTTTTTTTTTTTTTTTTTTTTTTCTTTAATTTGAGAGAGTGAGAGAACACGAGCAGGGAGAGGGGCAGAGGGAAACGGGGAGGCAGGGGCGGGGGAGAGAGGGAATCTTAAGCAGGCTCCACACTCAGTGCAAAGCCCAACATGGGACTCGATACCATGACCCTGAGATCATGACCTGAGCCAAACTGGAAATACAAAACTTTTCAATTTTAAGTAAAACTAAAAAACTGACGATTCTCTTCATTTTTGTATATACTTTGGTTCTATCCCAACTTTTTAAAAAATTTTCTTCTTTTTAATTTACATCTAAGTTAAGCATAGTAACAATGATTTCAGGAGTAGATTCCTTAATGCCCCCTACCCATTTAGCCCATCGCGTCTCCCACAATCCCTCCAGTAACCCTCTGTTTGTTCTCCATATTTAGGAGTTTCTTCTGTTTTGCCCCCCTCCCTGTTTTTATATTATTTTTGCTTCCCTTCCCTTACGCTCATCTGTTGTGTAAGCCTTTAAAGTCCTCATATGAGTGGAAGTCATATGATATTTGTCTTTCTGACTAATTTCGGGCTTTAGCATTAAACCCTCTTAGTTGCATCCACGTTGCAGTATAAGATTTCATTCTTTTTGATTGGTTAGTAATACTCCACACATCTTCTTTATCCATTCATCTATCAGTGACATTTGGGGTTTTCCATACTTTGGCTATTGTTGATAGTGTTATAAAACATTGGGGTGCATGTGTCCCTTCAAACAGCACACCTGTATCCTGATAAATACCTACTAGTGAATTACATGAGTCTATTTTGTGTCTTCTATTTTCAATTTTTTGAGGAACTCCTCAGCATTGCTTTTCCAGAGTGGCTGCACCACAGTTTGCATTCCCACCAGCAGTGCAAAAAGAGATCCTCCTTGTCCCAAGATCCTCACCAATATCTGTTGTTGCCTGAGTTGTTAATGTTAGCCATTCTGGACAGGTGTGAGGTGGTATCTCATTGTGGTTTTGATTTGTATTTCCTTTGATGCTGAGGGATGTTGGCATTTTTCATGTGTCGGTTGGCCATCTAGATGTTTCTAGAGAAGTGTCTATTCATGTTCTTTTGCCCATTTCTTGACTGATTATTTGTTTTTGGGTGTTGAGTTTGCAAATTGTTTATAAATTTTTGATACTGCCTTCTTTATCTGAAATGTCATTTGCACATCTTCTTCTCCCATTCTGTTTTGCTTGCCTTTAGTTTTGCTGATTGTTTCTTCCTTCTGTGCAGAAGTTCTTGATGAGGTCTCATTAGCTCATTCTGCTTTTGTTTCCCTTCCAGAGACATTGAGTGTTATCAGAGACAGAGAGAGTTGAGGAGAAGTTGCTATGCCAATATCAAAAGAGGTTTCCTTTTTTTTAATATATTAAATATAATTTATTGTCAAATTACTTCCAAACAACACAGTGCTCATCCCAACAGGTGCCTCTCATGCCCATTACCCACTTTTCCTCCCCACCTCCCATCAACCTCAGTTTGTTCCCTTTCAGTATTTAAGAGTCTCTTATTTGCCTCCCCTCCTCTCTCTGTAACCTTTTTCCCTTCCTCCCCATGGTTTTCTGTTAAGTTTCTCAGGATCCACATAGGAGGAAAAACATATGGTATCTTGTCTTCTCTGCATGACTTTACTTATCTAATACTTCCAGTTCATCCATGTTAAAGCTACAAATGGCCAGATATTCTTTCTCATTGCTAAGGAGTATTCCATCAGATATATAACCAATTCTTCTTTATCCATTTGTCGTTGATGGACATTTAGCTCTTTCCATAATTTGCTATTGTTGAAAGTGCTGCGGCTATAAACACTGTAAGTACAAGGTGTTCTCCTAATGCATCAGCACTCCTCTGTATTCTTTTGGGTAAAATTCCTAAAGTAGTGCTATTGCTGGGTCATAGGTAGATCTATTTTTAATTTTTGAGTAGCACAGTGTTTCCAGAGGGCTACACCAGTTTCAGGCTCCCACCAACAGTGCAAGAGGGTTCCCTGCTTTCTCCACATCCTCGCCAGCATCTATAGTCTCCTGATTTGTTCATTTTAGCCACTCTGACCAGCATGAGGTGGTATCTGAGTGTGGTTGATTTTTTATCGATGAGAGTGACGCGAGCATTTTGCATAAAAGTCTGTTGGCCATCTGATGTCTTTTAGAAAAGTGTCTATTCAATAAGGCCCATTTCTTCACTGGATTATTTGTTTTTCAGGTGTGGAGTTTGGTGAGTTCTTTATAGATTTTGGATACTAGCCTTTTATCAGATATGTCATTTACAAATACCTTTTCCCATTCCATCAGTTTCCTTTTAGTTTTGTTGACTGTTTCCTTTGCAGTGCAGAAGCTTTTTATCTTGATAAGGTCTCAATAATTTTTGCTTTTAATTCCCTTGCCCTTGGAGATGTGTCGAGTAAGAAATTGCTGTGGCTGAGGTCAGAGGTTTTTTTCCTGCTTTCTACTCTAGGGTTTTGATGATTTCCTGTCTCACATTCAGGTCCTTCATCCATTTTGAGTTTACTTTTATGCATGGTGTAAAAAAGTGGTCTAGTTTCATTCTTCCACATGTCGCTGTCCAGTTTTCCCAGCACCACTTGCTGAAGAGACTGTCTTTAGTCCATTGGATATCCTTTCCTGCTTTGTCAAAGATTAGTTGGCTATATGCTTGTAGGTCCATTTCTGGGTTCTCTATTCTGTTCCATTGATCTGAGTGTCTGTTTTTGTGCCATCTATCCCGACTTTAAAATATGGCTCTCTTCACCTAAATCCCTCTTTAAGTCCTAACTCTTCCTCACTTTTCATGAAACACACAGTAAACACCTCAAAATGATGAACCTCTGAGTTCTACTATTACTTATGATTCTCATCCATATTCGTTGGCTATCTTTTCCCTACTCTAGAAGGAAAATTCTCTAGATAAGGACCATGAGTAAGTATGCATCTTGGCTCAGGATATCACACAAATGTGACATTTAGATCATGAAATAACCCTGAAAGCAGTACAAATCATGAAATCTACCAAATATTCACTTAAGATAGATACAACATGGGGTGCCTGGGTGGCTCAGTCGGTTAGGCATCTAACTTCGGCTCAGGTCATGATCTCTCAGTTCACAAGTTCGAGCCCATGTTGGGTTCTGTGCTGACAGCTCAGAGCCCAGAGCCTGCTTCAGATTCTGTATCTCCCCCTCTCCCTGCCCCTTCCCTTCTCACACTCTGTCTCTGTCTTCTCCCAGAATAAATAAACATCAAGAAAAATTAAAAAAAAAAAGATAGGTACAGTAGTATACACAACCTTGTACCACAGTTAAATAAAAATATATTGAAAAAAATCATATCATGAGGAGGTACAATTTTTGAAGTTTAAACAAACCTGGAATAATTGGAGAGCTTCTTCCTCAAATAAACTAGATTCTTTGACAATACATCATAACTAGTGTTAGTAAATGTCATCAACATTTTTTACCTTTTGGGAATATAATGGGTCTAGCCTAACCCTCACATTTTATAAGTGAGGAAACTGAGGCCAAGAGAAAGGAAATTATTTGCTCAGGGTCATAAAACAGGTTAGTAGTAAAAACAGAACTAGAATCAAGGTAAGTTACAAATATAACAGTCAATGTATAACACAAAACAAGTCAAATTTCTTAAGTCACCTTCCCCCTCATTTTATTTCTAAGTGATTACATATATCATCTTGAATAGTCTCATTATAAAAGTGTTGAAAATATAGAAAAGTAATAAGAAAGAGAGGAGATAAATCTCTTTGATGTAGCCCTCTGTCATCTTGGTAAAGATGGCTTTTTTTTCTTCAGATTTATCGAGATATTACTGACATATTACATGTAAGTTTAAGTTGTACAATGTGATGATTTGATAAATGTGTATACTGCAAAATGATAATCACAATAAGGTTAGTTAAGATTTCTATCCCCCCACACGATTACCATTTACTCTTATGTGTGGTGAGAACATTTAAGATAGACTCTCTTAACTTCCAAGTATATAATAGAGAATAAACAATTAACAGTATATACATACCACACAGTATGTAATGTAGTACATTAGATCCCGAGAACTTAATCTTATAGCCAAGAGCTTATATATCCTTTGACAAATATCTCCCAATTTCCCCCACCTTGTAGCCCTTGACAACTAATATTAATATCTATTACTATAAATTTGACTTTTTTAGATTCTGCATACAAGTAAGAACATGAAGTATTATTAGTCTTTCTCTTATTTCA